CACGGCTGTTCACACTTCTCACAGCTCTTGTTTCAGGCTGTCTGCAAACTCAGGCAGAAATCAGTGCTTAACCTTCATATTGTGACCAGAGTGTGAAAGTATATTGTTAGCCACAAATTACCTTCTTTTAAAATAAAGCATAGAATTTGGAGCAGAAAAACAGTTATATGAAAATATACTGGCTTGCTGAGATGCTACCACCCAACCCAATGTGGCCTTTAGCTTTGCAGAACATGAAAGACAACACTAAAAAGAAGTGACCAGGATTTATCACCTTCTCTGCAGTTCTCAGCTTTAAAGAGAGTTGTGCCTTCTGTGCAGTGTGCTTCCAGCAGTTCAAGATTTTCAGTTTACACACCAGCTCCCCTAGCCTGCTGTTTTCATCTTGCAAGACTTGCAGCTGCTCCTGCTAATGAAGACATGACACCACAGTACACCAGTGAGTAAAAAAAAGACTTCTTACAACACAACATTCCCTTACAACAGTTTGGAGGTTGTCTCTCTCCTCAACTGAAACTTGAATTTTTAAATCCTCAAACTCTGCAGTTTAAAACAGTGCAATTTTAGAAAGAAATGTCAGTTACTGCAACCCTGAAGAAACAGGAAAAACAGACACTGTCAAGAGACTAGGAGAAAAAAAAACAGGTAAATTGTGAAAAAAAAACACATGCTTAACTGATATAAAACACTCCAATTCTTCTGTGACTATCCTAGTTTACCCTATTAATGGTTTTGGCTGACAACATATTGAATCACCTAATTTATCCTAAATGTGGATGTCCTTGATAAGACCTACATAATAACAGTATGGTAAAATCATAGGATTTATAAAAAAGAGGTCTTTTCCCCACAGGCACTGCCCATACTACAAGGCTTATTTGTGAAAAGTGCACACTCAAGGCAGATGGCTATAAGACAATTGCATTTCTCCCTCACAGGTTTTTTTGTCTGGAGCATCTGCAAAGTGCATTTATTTGATATTCAGGCATTAAGTCATAATATTCTGGGCTGAGTAAAGATCCAGTTGGCCTCATCTGATTTCATGAATGAACTCTTCAACAGCTTTACCCTACCAAGTTCCACTGGAACTAATTCTTAATGTATTAAAAAATTATGTAGCTGAATGTTTATTTCTTCTTAACAGGCTTATTTTCTTAATTGAGCAACTAATAATTCAATAGACTGTATTGTTATTTTGTCTGTTTGTTACAGTAGGTCCCAAATGTCCAGGCTTTAATATATTTTATGGTATATTTCTTTGGTTTTGAGTTGTGTAATTTTTTCATCATTTTTTCTCCCCCTTCTGAAGTACCTCATTCTCAGATTCTGGTCCTTCTGCAAGAGGTCATGTTACTACTTGAAGCGCTGATGGAGTCCTGCAAGCAGAACAGCACATGGGTAATCCCTGTCACTGTTCAGCCAAGTACTTGACTGCTACCATAACTGCTATTCCTATGAGTAATTTAGTTGTTTGACAAGAAAATTCATGTGTGCTAAGCTAGCCAGAGCTTTTATAGAGTTTTCCAAAAAAGAGGTCAGTGTCATTATCCCCATTTTAGAGAGGGGGAAAATAAAGTACAGAGACACAAAATAATGTCACCCACCTTCACTCAACAGGCCAGGAATGAACAATGGTCTCACAAGTTCTAGTCCAGTGCTCTACCCATCAGACTCACTGCTTCCCCTTAGCAGGCATTAAAGTACTTTAGGAAGAAAGGCCTATGCATCTCTACTTTTGGACAAGAGTGTTTTTAAGATTGCTGCTTTTCCTAGATTGTAGATTACAAGTGACCAGGACACAGCTTGATTTAAATCCTCAGATTTTACTGGGCAAATCTGAGAACACTTGCATCTAAATGACAATTTGAATATGACCCTTTGCCACACTGGCACATATCACAAGGTTCTGCAATTCTGTCTGTCCTGTTTGCCACAATGACTACCCTCTTCCATCTTATGCTACTTCAATCGATTTTTAACAAAGACAGGCTGACAGCCTGTCACTGCCTGAACTGGAAGCCCAATGACTGCTTGTCCCCAAAGTTCAGATGTGGTCTTGAATCCCAGCACTTGGTTTAGGTCCATAATTTTTACCCTTAAGAATGAGCACATTACACTCCTTACTGTGGACAAATGTTCTTTCAATCCTTTATCATCCGTGGTTGAACCAAATTTTTTCTTCAGTTCAATCATGCTGTTAACCCCTTCTTTTCTCACTTCACTGACGATCTCAAACACTTGTCGACACATATTAAGGCGATAGTCATCCAGCTTCCCCTGCAATTACAAGCAGAAGCCAGAAGAGAAGAGAAGTGCATATGGGAAACAGTATTTTAGATAATGCTGCCATATGCAAATATACAATTAAACTGACTGAATTTTTTCTAGCAGAGCATACAAGCTAATTAATGGCTTTTATAATTGTCTTGGGCTCTCATTTCTCTGCAAATTTTGAAAAACTCTTAAAGCGGGTTATATTTTACCCATCAGCTGCTGGAGAAACATGAGCTCAGGACTGTCTCACAATTTCAGAAGGTAGCAGAAATAAGAAAATCTTCTGGTAAGAACTGATACTTTACGACATAGAACATAATCACAGAGGAAGGAGCAAAGTTCTTTCTCTAGCTATGAGTAATTTCAGCTGCACAGCTTTATAAACAATCAACAATTATGCATAGGGTATGATTATGTTACGAAAGCAACAACCTATTGTAAGGATTTTTCTGGTGAGAATAGGTTCACTTTAGAGACAGCAAGAGAAATCTCAAGATGGGACCCTACATCATTTTGCTAGCATCCTGTCATTACCAGGAACTTTAATCAGCTTGTGGGCACTGAGAAGATACCCTGGGGGGGGTCTGGATCTGGATCAGGGGGATGAATTGGATTGCATCTAACATAGGATGTCAATCAAGTATATATTAGTTGGGGGCAGTACCAGGATGCCATTATTCAAGCTAGGTAGTACTTTACTTATATCAAGTACCTACAGTGAAAACAGTAATATTATCTGAGAAGTAAGATATCCTTTAAAGTGAATGATAGGGTCACACATTATCCCTATGATTTTGAGAAAAAACTATACAGACCACTTAAAAATTAAATTTGACATAAAGAAAAGTTCTCATCCTTACAGGTATAAAATGGCAAGAGAGCCCACTCTTTGGGATGTGGCAGCAATTCCCTTCCTAACAGATCTTCCCTTCATTAGAACAGATCCAGCTCCTTCCCAAACAAGGAGTTTGTACAAGCTGCTCCATAGGATGTTAGTGAGAGAACAGCAATTCACTGGTCCCTGAATTAATTCCTGTAATTCATGCCTTTGTTTGCCAGTAGGCTGGCTAAGTAATACAACAGCACATTAAGGACTTCTTGGCTACCCTCTTATTTTATACCTACTTTTAGCTGCACACAAGTCACAAACAGATTCCGCACTAGCGTTTCATATTCATCTTGCACTTCTTTTCTTATCTTCTCTTTGAGACTGAGCTTTTCACTTTCTATATCAGCAACTCTAGCTCTTAGGGCAGTTACTTCCATAATCATCTCATGACTCAGCTCTGCAATCTATCATAGGAGAGAAAGTGACTGAGTGAAACCAGAGACAACACAGGCAAACCTGACACAAAAAACCCTAGATCTAAATATCCTGGAACTGTGAAAGTTTAGACATGAAGCAAAACTTCCAATTTGTGCCCACATCTAACTGAAGGCAAATAATTAAACAAATTAATAAAATCATCCCGGCTTTGCTTTTCTGCTTGTTTAGAGATATTTTTTTCCAGGAGCTGAATATGAAGGATCACTGGACCAGTGACTTTAAGTTGCAGCAAAATAGGTTTAGATTGGGTATCAGGAAAAACTTTTTCACTGTTAGAACAGTGAGGCAGTGGAATAGACTGCCTAGGGAAGTTGTGGACTCTCCATCACTGGAGGAGTTCAAGGAGAGGTTGGACAGCCACTGATCTGGGATGATCTAAGTATAGTTATGCCTATATTCAACTATGGGTATTTCCTGTGCTTCTAGGCTTTGCTGGTTGCCATATGGGGCTGGGAGGGATACCCCGCTGGCCCTGGCCCCATCCCAATGCTGCTGACAGTCCCGACCCGGTGCTGGCACTGGGCTGGGGCCACAGCGGCAATGGTGCCAGCTGGGGCCGGGCCCACTGGCAGCATGGGGTCAGGCCCAGGGCCCACAGCGGCAGTGGTGCCAGCTGGGGCATGCCGGTAGCACATGGCCAGCAGTGCAGGGTTGGGGCCAGGGGCTCTTACCTGGCTGGGGTTGGCAGTGTTTCGGGGCTGGGGTCCAGCGGTGGCAAGGGTCAGCAGCAGCACAAGGCTGTTCCCAGGCAGCCATGTGCTTCTCAATCCAGGCACGCCTCTTCCCACCCCTTGGGGTGGGAAGCAGCCTGCATGCCAATAAAAACCACGCCACGTTGGGCATACATGCCATAGGTTGCTGACCCCTGCGTTAGACAATGGATTCGTATAGGATGGTTTGGATAGGGATAACCTTGCCTCAGGCCAGAGGTTGGATTAGATGACCTATGTAGGTCCCTTCCAGCTCCACTTCTCTATGACTCTATGTCCCTAACAGAGTTCACACCCTAAATTTTGAAAGAGAAAGAATTGCACATAAAACCCAAAAGCCTATTTGTGGTTATGATGGGGGAGAGAAAAAAGATCAGTAGATTTCTCTCATCCATGGGTGAGAGGAACTGAGAGAAAGAGTATGGTGGAATGCAGGGATATTGGGGAAGTGTTTCAGGGGACTTTATCTCCCCAAGCTGTCCACCTACCACTAACTGTGGCTGGCAGCCTGCATCTGGTGATACCTAATCCTAACTACTGCCCCAACAAATGTGATAGTCAAATTCTGCCAATGAATATTTGGGGATAGTTGAGGGAGGAAAATACTGAGAGGAGGAGTCCATGCAGTACAATGATAGACCCATGCCCCCTCCTTGGTGATAATAGTGTGGGAAATGAGGATTAAATTGTCTGGTCAAATTCTGGGTTGTAAATTTCATGGGACAAGTGTGGTATCTGCTAGTCACTGATCACATAACAATATTGTATTGGTGAAGATGGGAGGAGCAGTCAGCCAGGTCTGACTGTTTGCGTAGGTTCCTAGCTGAAATACAGGGCCTCCACCTTATCCAGGAGGTACACAGCCCCACTAGGGGAGATGCCTTGCTGGACCTGGTCTTGGCCACTGGGGATGACCTGGTGAGTGGACTGCAGGTCCCTGACCACCTGGGTGACAGTGATCATCGCCTGCTGGAATTCACCATCCAGTGCAGGGTGTTGAGGGCTTATACCAAGACTAAAGCCCCTGGCTTCAGAAAGGCCAACTTCAACAAACTTAGGAGATTAGTGGGGGAGGCACCGAGGGCCCAAAAGGTAGAGGATATGGGAATCCACAAGGGATGGTCATATCTTAAGGGGACAATCCTCCAGGCTCAGAGTGTGACAGTCCCGGAGAGAAAGAAGTGGGGTAAGAGCGCTCTGAAACCCCCATGGCTCAGCAAAGACATTCAAGAATGCCTGAGGGCCAAAAGGGAGGCATATACCCGGTGGAAGAGAGGGGCCTGTGAGTGCAGGAGGGCCATTAGGAAGGCCAAGGCAGGGGTGGAGCTTAGGCTAGCGACCAGGATTAAGGACAACAAAAAGTCCTTCTTCAAATACACTGGGAGTAAGAAGAAGGCACCGGGTAATGTAGGGTCCCTGTTAGACTCAAATGGTAATCTTGTGGCTATGCCAGAAGAGAAAGACGAAATTTTTAACAAGTTCTTTGCCTCTGTTTTCTTGGACAGGGACCAGGACAGCTCTCCCACCACAGATAGGGGCAATCTTGGGGATAGCACTGTCAGGCCTCAGGTCTGCGCAGAAGTAGTTAGGGATCTTCTGGATGGGCTGGATGTTTTTAAATCTGTGGGCCCTGATGCCCTCCACCCGCAGGTGTTGAGAGAGCTGGTGGGGGTCATTGCTGTGCCCTTGGCCCGGCTGTACGAGCGATCGTGGTCCATGGGCCAGGTATCCAGAGACTGGAAACTAGCTAATGTGGTCCCCATTTATAAGAAAGGGAGAAAGGAGGACCCAGGAAACTATAGGCCCATAAGCCTCACATTGGTCTTGGGGAAAATCCTTGAAAAAATTATCAAGGATCCCATCTGTGAGGGCCAGCAGGGGAGATCATGCCCAGGGGAAATCAACATGGGTTAATCAAAGGCAGATCCTGCCAGACCAACCTGATGGCCTTTTATGACCAGGTAACTAAATCCCGGGATGACAGTGTTGCTGTGGACATAGTCTCTCTGGACTTTAAGAAGGCCTTTGGCACTGTCTCTCACACAACTGAAACAAAAATAAGATAAATCACCACCACCAACCTGACTAAGGGTGACTTCAGTTTGCTTTCCATCTTCTTCTACTGCATACAGTTCCTGAAACAGAGCACAAAAAACGTGTTGTGAATATGTTCTTGCAGCTAAAGTCTCACTTGCAGGGAGTGAAGATGGTAAGAATACTTGTTCTTTCTGATAGAGTAGTCGATGCTGCTGCTGGAGGATGTTTTCATAAAACATGGAATAGGTCTCAA